TACTGAATAATAACTACAAAATGTGCTGACACGTGTACTTATTTCAGGTCTTAGCTTAAATGTAAATAATAAAAAAAAAAAGTATTCACCCATTAGTACGATATTATTATTACTATAAAATAAATACATATACGGTATATAGAAAATATTTTTCATCAATTTTTATATTATTCTTTAATTTAAATACCAATTATTGTTTAATATAGAATATACAATTATTCAATAACAACAAAATAATGAAATACAAAATATTTTTATTAACAAGTATTATATGTTTCGGAGGATATTTATTGGGAATTTTATTAAGGCTACCGGACATTAAAACTAAAAACAATATTTTCGATATAAATGTACAAGAGATTGCTGAATTGACAATAATTTGAAATAGTTATATATCGAGTAATTAAATCGAGTTTATATACCTATATAATAATACGATACAATAATTATTTAATTGATATGCATTATATTAATCATTATAATGTTTGTAGAATTTCATTCTGATCGTTAAAACATAAGTTTTAATTAGATAATAATAATAATAATAATAATAATATTAAAATGTGTATATATGATAGCAAAACAAAGTACATTGAAATTTTAATACAAATTTTTATTGAAGCAGTACACGATTAAAAATATTATAGCATTAATCTTTATTTTAATTAAAGATAAATTTTATTAGAACTTAAATTAAAAATATCGTATAATAAGATATTTTCAATTTTTCTTTATATTTATAATAATAAATTAAGAACATAAAATTGGCACTCAATTACAGAGTAATTATATTTACTCTATATTTATTCTATATATATAAGAACATATTTCTTTTATTTTAATTAATTGATTAATAATTTTTCATTATCAAAAGTACATTTGTATAAGAATCGATAACACTTTCATACACAAAATTAATCCTTACTATGCATTTATTAAAAACTAACCAATTTTTCTTTTTCTTTATTACTATTTTTTATTATACATTACTATTTTTTGCTTGTAATATTTACTTGTTAATAATAATACTCTTAATACTCATTGAATCACGGTAATATTATTTTTACATTCATACGTACATAGAATTTTCTTGTCCTATGTTATTTAAATTACATTATTGAATATTATGTAATATGACCCACAATAAAGATGTAAATAATTATTATGCAATATTTATTATACAAAATCTACAAATATTCTTAAATAATATTATAATCGAAATTAGATATAAGAAAAAAACACAACCTTAATACTTCAAAAATATATATAAATACAACTTTTTTTAAAAATCTAAAATTCATAATATGTTTATACTTAATTTAAATAAAAATTTTAACATTAAAGTTTATAAATGCAATTAAGATATGTGTTGATAATCAATACCTTAACTAACGGTGATACCTTAGATTTATTAAAAAAAATGTATTAATATATATAGTATTAAACAAATTTTTATTGCAACTTTTACATTAACCTAAACTTATATACTTAAATAAAATTTTTCACCTTAATTTTTTAAATAAAATCTATAAAACACTATTGTCTACATACGATTTCAATAATTATATTTCATTTTTTAAATACTTAATTTAGATAGTTTTTCACTTTATAATGCGATTAAAGATTCGTTTAAATTGAATTTTTAAAAATAATTTATGAAGTTTTAAATTGCTTATAAAGCATTTAAAAAGACTTGTTGTCGTTTCAACTTTCTATACACTTCCGCACACATATTTAATAAATTCGTCTAATTAAAATATTGGAAAACAGAAGTCAGAGTTTAAGATATTAAAAATTGCAATATGATTCGTAAGGTCCTTTACATTATGAAAATGGGAAGTTTAATAGAAAATTCATTTTCATTTTTTTTTTTTTTTTTTTTTTAAATATTTTTAATACATTATTTATGTTATTCATTGTAATTGCAATAAAATAAAAATGTGGAAATGTTTTTTCTCAACGAGTGATTTACTGCAACGATGAGAAAGAAATATTGAATCTAAAAGAAAGAAGATTGATTGTATATATATATATATATATATATATATATATATATATATATATATATACGTGTGTGCGTGTGTATGTAAATAATATATTTACTTTGAGAAACATACTTTTATGCAGAAATTACTTAATTTTACATAGGCAACTAATAACACTGTAGATCGTCGACTTTAATAAATCAACATAATATAATAAATCAATTATTCTTATGAGCTATAATTACTCTTTTTTTTTTTTAATGAAAAATGTTTAAATATTTTTATAATTGATAGAGTTGTATACCTTTATTTCATTATTCATAGAATTTATAAAAATTTTATCTTTTCTATCTGTAGAATCTGTAGAATTTAATCTGTTGTTTATAAATAATAATCATGTTATAAATAAATGATAACTATATTATTGGTAAGATAAAATATAAAGAGATTATAATAAAAAAAGGATTTTTATAAATGCATTTTAAATGTTTTAAAAAATAAATTCATTTTAACATATGCGACATCAAGAGATATTTAAAATTCTTACAAATCAGTATATAATATCTATACATGTGTTACTTACATGAGATATAATAAGCAAATTAAATAAATTAAGAGATTTTATAAATTTCATTTTATAGATCAATGATTTCTCTTTTATAAGACTATAGTTGTCTTGCAAAATTAGTACATTTACAAACTGATTAGTGAGACTCATCAATCTCTATAGATGTAAAAAAAATTTCGGATATAATATAAAGATTTACAACATGAATGACAACGAAGTAAATATGTATATATATATATATATATATTATATATATTATTACATATATATATATATATATATATATATACAATCAATCTTCTTTCTTTTAGATTCAATATTTCTTTCTCATCGTTGCAGTAAATCACTCGTTGAGAAAAAACATTTCCACATTTTTATTTTATTGCAATTACAATGAATAACATAAATAATGTATTAAAAATATTTAAAAAAAAAAAAAAAAAAAAAATGAAAATGAATTTTCTATTAAACTTCCCATTTTCATAATGTAAAGGACCTTACGAATCATATTGCAATTTTTAATATCTTAAACTCTGACTTCTGTTTTCCAATATTTTAATTAGACGAATTTATTAAATATGTGTGCGGAAGTGTATAGAAAGTTGAAACGACAAGTCTTTTTAAATGCTTTATAAGCAATTTAAAACTTCATAAATTATTTTTAAAAATTCATTTAAACGAATCTTTAATCACATTAAAAAGTGAAATTTATTGCATAATAAATGATGAGTATGAGCACTTACTAAAAATGTTTTGATTTTAAAATAAATTTATTTAGTAAAATAAATATTTCAAAAAACAAATTTTATCAAAAAAATTTTAAAATATCAATAATAGTTTGATATAATTTTCATAAACAGACTTTCCATATTTATATATTTATCTATATATTTATTATAATAAATATATTTTCCAATATATTGTTCTAGTTTATTATTAAACAAATACAAACTATTTATATTGTTGTATTAACTAATTGTAAATATTATAAATAAACATAATTAATAATAATATAATTGTATTTCATACACATTCTAACTTAGTATCATTATTTTTTTAATATATTATTTATAGAGAAATTTATATACTATTATTCAGTTTTTTATATGTCAATTTGAATTTATTAATTTATCAATATGTATATTTAAAAATTTTGCATTTCATTTTAATTATTAATCACCTCTTAATTATTTATAGAACATATTTATATATGGCAAATCATTATATTATTTATATTTCTGTTGAGCAACATTAGTACTACCATTAAACAACAACAACATGACGACAGCGAAAAGATTTAATAAATAAATAAAGATTTAATGAAATGTAAAAAATTAAATTGTTAAAAATATTTGGACGATGATAGAAAAAAATTAAATTGAATAAATCATATTATATATAATAAATTCATTCTATACAAATTATGAATAGCTGTATTGCAATTGCTATAGTATCAAACAATAATTCATTGTAATTATATTTTATTATTAATTAACGGTAACTAAAATAATAATTTAAAAATTAACTTTTAACATAAGATACTCGTATGACAAAAGATGAATATTCTAAAAATTATATATATTTATTCAAAAAATTTTTCTTGCATCTGATATAATGAATTAATGATTAATTTAAAAACAACTATTGCACAAATATTGATTATGATTTTGTCTCTCTCAGAATTGTACTCATATGTCATCAATATGTCTCTATTAGAATTGTATTATCTCATTAATTGATTGAACTAAAAAAAAAAAGCTAATAAAATTAAAATAGTTAGGACATTTCAAATTATTTGACTTTTAGATATTTTATAATTTCATATTTTTTATTAAGTACAAAAATTATTTTACAATTTTAATTTTTAATGCAGCATCATCTATAAATTATATATATGTATATATATATATATATATATAGTTAGTAAATTATTTATTAAAAATTGAATAAATTATTTGTATTATAAAAATATAAATCTTATTGACATGCAAAATATCTGTAAAACATATATAAAAAATATGTAAATAAAAATAAATGTTTATTTATTAAAAATAATTATCAGATAAATAATTGTAATACTTGATTGAAATTTTTAATATAAATCCTGTTGAAAATGTTGTGATAAATGTATGAAAAATATTGCACATAGTAAAAATACAATAGTAAAATATATTAAAAAAAAGTTTTAACTATAAAAAAAGTCCTTTATTTTTTTTTTTTTTTGGTATTGTATTTTATTTAATATTATTTATAAACAATTCTATAAATTATTTTCCTCGTATAAAGTTTAACAAATTTTCTCTCAATATCATTATGTATATTGAACTTTTCTTTCTTAACCTTACTTAATGATGACTGTCTACATTAAAAAAAAATAAATAAAATTAAATAATAATAAGCAGCGTTTAACTATATTTTAAATATAATGTATGTAAAATGTTTTTCAAGGAAAAAATTTTTATACATTCAGCACAAATATTTTCATTAGGGTGTGTATATATACTTATATATGCTTATTCACATATTAGCTTCTCTCAATGAAATCAAGTTTATAAAATTATCATTCTAATAAAATTAAGTTAAAATCACGAAGAAATGAAGCATATTAAAGTAAATTAAAACAATAATATTGAATTGTATTTAAACTTTATGCTGTTGGATTCTTCTGCATCAATTCCAAATCAGCTATCATCATGTCTAAAACAAGTTCCTGGAATACATAAAATTTTGTATTATATATTTATATTGTATTTATATATATCATTTATAACTTTTACCCGGAATGATACTGTAGGTTTCCATCCAAGTTTTTGTTTTGCCTTGGTAGCATCTCCCAATAGAAGATCCTAAATATGTATGATTATACGTGAAAACGAATAAGGATTCTTTCTCTAATTTGCATTTTAAAAACAACTAAGGAAAAAAACTCTGATATCTTACAACCTCGGTAGGCCGGAAATATCTTGGATTTATTTTTACTAGTACTTGTCCCGAAACTGCATCTTTTCCAACTTCTTTTATACCTTTACCTTCCCATTTAATAGTCCTTCCTACAACATGAAATGCTGCGTCAACAAATTCTCTAACACTATGCGTTTCTCCTGTAGCTATTACATAGTCATCTGGAACTTCTTGTTGTAGCATTAACCACATTGCCTGAATAAAACATGCATTGAAGAATTATTGCTCGTTTTCTATTATGAAAGTTATTTTAATGAATAGTATAACAAATACTTGTCGATAATAGTTTTGGATTAGTAAACTTTGAAAGATTAGAAAACAAGAAGATTTTCTAATATTACAATACATCAAAATTCACTAGTGAATTAACTATCGTGTAATGTTTTCGAAAATATAAGAGATTTGAAACTAACTTCGACATAATCCCTAGCATGTCCCCAATCTCTTTTAGCATCTAAATTTCCTAATTCCACCATATCCTGCAATCCTAAGTGTATTTTTGCAATTGACCTGGTAATCTTACGAGTCACAAAATTTTCACCACGCCGTGGGCTTTCGTGGTTGAAAAGTATACCATTACAAGCAAACATATTGTACGCTTCTCTATAATTTATAACAATCCAAAAACTATACATTTTGGCACATGCTATTAACATAAATAAAATTAACGGATAAATTTCATAGAATGGTTGATAATACATATTAATAGGAATTTCACGTAGCTCGATAATTATGTTATTACCATAAGGAGAACGTGGGTAAAATGGTGTATTTTCATTTTGTGGTACTTCTTTAACTTTACCATAAAGTTCGGAGGTAGAAGCTTGATAAAATTTGACGGGTTTTTTTAATTGACATGTTTTTATGGCATCTAACAACCTCACCGTACCAACAGCATCGACTTCTGCCGTATACTCGCTTAATTCAAAACTCACCTAAATTTAAAATTAATTCATTAATTCGAACCGTAAAAGTAATTCTTGGCTAAAATTAATAATAATATAATTATGAAGAATACAATGAGCGAAAGTGCGAGATACCTTAACATGACTTTGGGCTGCTAGATTATATATTTCTAATGGTTGAACTTTATTAATTATTTTAATAAGACTACTAGAATCTGTCATATCTCCATAATGTAATTTCATTTTGCCTTCTCTATGGCATTTTGGATCTTCGTAAAGATGTTGTATTCTCATTGTATTGAATGAACTTGCTCTTCTTATAATGCCATGAACTTCGTAGCCTTTTTCAATTAAAAATTCAGCTAAATAAGAGCCATCCTGAAATGAAAAAATAATAAAAATCATATAATTTATTTAATAATTAATTTAGAATAAAATTATTAATCATTTGCTTACAAATCAAACGATTTCAATGTCATAATTTTTAAATATGTAAAGTACTTTTAAGGGAGTTTTTTAGTTGACTATTTTAGTAGATTCCGTAGTTAATAATTAATTTAGAAATTTTATTTTCAAAATACTTATATTGCTTTAACATATGAAAAATAATAACTTTCTTGCATTATACGGGGTTCAGGATAAAATTGATTTAAACTTTTAAACTAAATCTTACTTAATATTCTGATAATAAAGATATATAATCCCTGTAAGAGTAATTTCTTAGAAACTAATTTTATAATTTGCAGAAATTCAATTTTTTAAATAACTACTTTGTTTCAAATTTACTAAACCATTGAAAATTGTTTATTTTCAAAATTTTTAAATAAGAGTCCTATGCATAACATCAATACTGATATTGAAAATTTTGAAAGGTTTAATTAAGGCTTATATGTTTTTATCAAATTAAATAAAAATAAAAAAAAAACTTTATATTAAACCACTAATAATTTGTAAAAATAGAACATAATTGAATTTAAAGTGACAGATATATATGTCTGTCTGTCTGTTTGCCTGTGGGTGCGTGCGTGTGTGCGTGTGTGTGTTGCTGAAAGGCTTAAAAATCAGAATTATCGACATTTGAACATTTGAATAAATTGCTGCCACGTATTGTGAGACAATAGATAAAAGATAGTATTTGTATGGTATCAAATTAAAAAATTACTTGTTTTATCTACTTTATTTATTCCTATTTAAACTTGACATTAAGCCATTACAAGGAATAATTGGCACTCGTAATATTACGTTTAATAGATAATACTGAATTAATTACAAAATCATCGTGCAATTATACTTTATTCATTTTATAGTTATTCTTTTTTAAAAAATAAATTATATTCTATTAAAATAATATTACCTATTTCAACACGTATGTATTATTATAACATTTAAACGTATACCTTCGTGTAAACGTTTTAAATTAATCGTGATTGAATTAATAACAAAAATAAATGCTATCCACTAATAAAGTATTGATAATTAAAAATAAACAATCAGTACCTGTCCAGTTATACCGGTAATTAAAGCAACGCGTCTTTGTTCTTCCGTTGCCATAATGAAATCTTACGCTGGGTGTTTAAGATTAATTTTAAGTTTGATGAATTAATATGTTTAATATTTATTAATGCCGTAGTAATTACTAGGTATTCAAAAAGAACCTAATGAAGAGAAACATCGAGTTTTACGTGGATGTAGTTATAAATGCATCGAATCTATTACTGCCACGATGTTTGATAACGGACTGATTGTTGATTGGTTATGTCAGCATTAAAGTTTATTGGAGAATTTATTATATCGAAAGTATTTATGGTTGAAAGTCCACATTAATTTGTTTTAATGCTTTGAAATTAAATTTCAATGAATATTTATTATTAGTTGTGATTATAATTGAATGACGATTGATAATTTAATCTATGTATTTAATAAAGTTCTGTTATCTTTTGATATGCTCAAAAACTATGCAAGAATTTATTTTTAATTTAAAAATCTTTTAAAATTCTGAATGTAGCGGTATACATTGATAAATATTTATGAAAACTCTATGGGACTTATGTGTAAAATCACAACATTCAACATAATTTTCATCTTTAAAATATTGAAAACTTAATTTAATGGTGCGATTGTAGTTTAATTTGTGATTGCTCGAATTTTTATGAAAAAAAAAAAAAAAAAAAAATGAGCCTAAAACGAATTATCGCATTTAATTGTATAAATAAACAATTTTTACGGCAAAAAATTCATAATTATGCGACGATTCTTGAATTAGAAAGTACAAAGAATGTTGGAAAACCAATAAAAGTGCAGGTTAGACTGAGTTTTATTAAATTACAATTTACTTGTAAATCTGTAAACATTAATAATACATTGTATTAAAAAAAATAATAAAATTACTTGTATTCCTTACATTTTTACATTTATAAAATGAGTAGTAATTAATTTTATTAATATGGCATTAAATTTATTTTATTTATCTATTAATACATTTATTTTTTAATATTCTTATTTTCTTCGGTAACGAGTATAATATCATAATATCATAAAAAAGCACAAATGATAAAAAAAAAAAATTAATAATTATATTTATTATTTTTTCTTTTAAGCAAATTATAATTTAAAAATTCTTATACATTCGCTTAATGATGCTATTAATATTATCAGTAAATAAATTGTAATTTTAACTAAGTGTTTTATAACTTATTGTAAATGATATTATAATTTTTAATATATAAAATTGTTTTAGGGATGGGTGAAAGGATTGAGGAAAATGAAGGACAATATTTTTCTTGATTTAAATGATGGAACTTCATCTCGACCTCTTCAATTGGTGTTAAAAAAAGATCTCGAACCTGAAAACTTATCCTTTGGATGTAGTATTTCAGCAGAGGGTGATCTCCATTTAAATCCAAATGGTAATTCAGAACTCAAGGTGAAAGAAATTACTGTTATGGGAGAATGTAAATTTGAAGGATATCCCTTTCTTCCGAGAAAGAAATATACAAAAGAATATGTTCGGCAATATTTACACTTTAGACCTAGGACAATTACTTTTTCTAGTATCATGCGTTTTCGTGACTTGGCAATGAGCACTATTAGAGACTATTTCAGAGACCATAACTTCATTAACGTAGACACTCCCATCTTAACTTCAAACGATTGCGAAGGGGCTGGAGAAGTCTTTTGTGTGCAAGCAAATTCTAACAAAATTCTCGAACAAATGAAGAAAGATTGCTTAAAAGAAGAAAATTATTTCAATAGAAAAACATATTTATCAGTATCGGGACAATTGCAGCTTGAAGCGTGCGCTAGGTAATTATTATAAAACATCTATAACTTTTTACTACCATACTTAATGTTTGCAAATCGATTGCGAATAATTTTCAATTTATGTAACATTTTAATGAAATTTTTATTTAAATTTACATATATTTAGAGAGCGTGTTAATTAAATAATTGATAAAATAATTCTATTTAGAGCATTGTCGAGGGTATATACATTTAATCCAACCTTCAGAGCAGAAAATACAAAATCTAGGCTTCATCTATCAGAATTTTATATGGTTGAAGCTGAAATTGCCTTTGTGACATCTTTAAAGCAGCTTGCAAATGAAATAGAATTTATGATTAAATCAATTACCGAAAAACTATATGATAAGGGAAGGGCTGAATTTCGAATAATCAAAGCTCCCGAACCAATTTGGCTACAAAAAGATTTCCCATACATTACATACGATGAAGCATTAGAAATCTTGTCTAAGCATTCTGATAAATTAAGTATTCCAGTTAAATACGGAGAAAATATTGTAAAAGAGCATGAATTATTTTTAGTTAAACATCATGATAACGTTCCAGTTTTTATTACCGAATGGCCAAAGAATATTAAAGCATTTTATATG